CATACTTTTGCGGGGCAAGGCCGCCTGTCATCTTTGTGAATGGCATAGAGCCTCGCCCCCCGTCAACATCGTTATGTTTTCTTGCAACTCCAAGAGGGACGTTCGAGGACGCCCGTCGAACTTGATGGATGCACGCAACCGCCTCGACAGCTCAGGTGGCGTGCGGAGACGGAGAGCGCGTGCGGGACAGCGGCTACCGTTACGAGCTGTGACGGAAGCCCAGCGCCCGGCTTCTAACGGCTGCACCGGAGGCCCATCGCCGCAGGCCCCGCCCCCGTGACCGCGTCCCGGTTTGTGCCTGTCCCGGCTCGCGGCTAGCGGCCACGGGACTGAGACCCACCGAGGCTCCGCCCCGTGAGTCCTGCTCCACCGGCCGACCGCCCGGCCCGGTGGGCGCGGGGCCGCCTCTCCTGGCTGGCGGCAGTGACTCGGCGACCTTGAACCTAGAGCCCGAGAGGAGAACCCACTGACCCCCACAGCAGCGCAGACTTTGCCCAGCACGAGAGGCGGAGCGGACCGAGTGGCCGCAGACAGACTGGGACGATGTTAGCCTTTGCTGCCAGGACCGTGGTGAGTACGCACGGCAGGGTTGTGGACCCGGTAAGGCGGGCGGGCCGCAGGCTGCAGGGAAATGATGGCCCAGGACCCCCACACGGACTGATAGGGTACCATCTGCAAAGTGGGTAGAGTAGACCGACCAGGTAGGTTGAGGGGCGGGATCGAACTGTCAACGACCCAGGAAAAGACTGGGAAATCTAGGTTCAAGTCTTTTGCACCTTTACACACTGCTTCTCCTTCATGCTCAGTTATTCTGACTCAAGACACCAGTCGGGAGCTCCTGGCTGGAGCTCAGCCTCAGGCCCCGTTGCCCTTGCCCTACCAGAGCCCCTTCTCCCCAAACCTACTCAGTTGGTCATTCTTGAGTTCATCAGGTGCCCACCCTCAAGAGAATGTCAGGTGGAGACTTGTACTGAAAGTCCCCAGAACAGGCAGGACATGGCAGGCAGCCCCTTTCCATCCCTACCCAATGCTGCTATCCTGATGTGAGCTCCTTTCCTCTGGTGCCATCTGTACAGCTGTGAGTTGTGTCTCCATCTCAGACACCAACAGACTGCTTCTCCATCATCACATGGGATCACCATGCTGGCACAGTCACTTTGATGCTAGAGAAACTGAAGCAAGGAGACAATCAAATCCCATGGCTCTGCTAATCAATTTAGCCCAACCCTCAAACTAGGGACCTAGTCCCAAAAGTACTCCTGCCCCCCAACACAAACACTTGATCCTAACCTAAGTGATCCAAAGCTCAGAAAAATCAGAACCAGATTTTGGTAGAGAAGTGGCCACCAAAAACCCCTGGCTCTAGAAGTGAAACAAATGGGCAAGGTTTGTAGAAAGCATTGTCCACTAGTGGCCCCGTCCTGCCATCTCCTGCCTTGCTCAGTCCCAAACAGGACCGATTTCAGGGCCATGGGTTAGCAGCCAGACTGTTTCCACCCTCCAGCCAAGTTTTCCCACATCAAAAAGATCGAGGAAGATTTTGACAGGTGGATTTTTTAATACCTCTTGGCTTGCCTTCCTGGCACTGGGCCATCCAAAGAAGAAAGGAGAAAGTCCCAGGTTTCCTCCTCCGGTAGTGCGTATGCCAGCCCACTCACCTGCCCCGCTCCTCTTCTTCTGGAAGCTAGGAAGAGGTGGCGGAGTAGCTGCTGCAATCCTGTGGCCACCAGGGCTACAACCTTAAATGTCACATCAGTGGCTGCTGCCTTACTGCTCTCTCAGCCCTGAATTGTGGATCTTGTCTTTTCTTTCCAGCCCAGGCAGGTGGCTGCCTCTTGCTAGTTTCTGCTCGTCCAATTGGTAGCACAGTTAGGTTTAGAGATCCAGCCAAGGCAGACAGACAGGGCTCACATCCTCAGTCCTGCCATGGAGGACGGGCAGCAGAGAGAGAAGGTATGGAATGGAAGGTCTTTCTCTTGCCTGCCACTGTGCCAGCAGCCTGGGACCTCCTGCCTTGCTTTCTGCCACTTCTGAGTCTCCGGGACTCCCCACCTCTCTCTCTCTCTGCTACTTCTCACCCTCCATGCCAGGCTACTCAGCTCTCTTAGTGCAGCACTGCCCAGCACCCCTTACCATCACCCCACGGTGAAGAGAAAGCCCAGAGGCTGAAGCTTCACCCAGAGGTGCTGTCACTGTCTGGTTCTCCCATTTCCAGTTCCTCCTATTTCTCAAACTGCGGAGGGGAGAAAGAAGTTGGAGAAATCAGCTTAGAGAGCCAGCTGCCACCTCTCTGCTGGCTGACTTACCTGCCAGGACAAGAAAGATGATGGGCCTTGTCCATCCTGACAAGTGCTAGGCCCCCTTATCTCTGCCACCCCAACAGTGTCATTCAGTCATTCATCCCCACCCCCACCCTTTCCTAGCCTCCCTGCACTTCTAGGCTTCTGAGAGGTGGACTCCTGTCTCTCGAGGGCTGGGCTCCAGGACAGGCACCACCCATTAAGCTGTCTTTGCCCCCAGGGATGGCATATAAGCGCCTAAGACTACAGTTGGAAGAGAGCTGTACTTCAGACTGAGAGAATGAATAGACTGTTCTGCTTCCCTCAGGTAAAGCCCCTGGGCCTCCTCAAGCCCTCCTCCCTGATGAAGGTTTCTGGTCGCTTCAAGGCCCACCAGGATGCACTGCCAAGGCTGCCCGTGCCCCCACTCCAGCAATCCCTGGATCATTACCTCAAGGCACTGCAGCCCATCGTGAGTGAGGAAGAGTGGGCCCACACCAAACAACTGGTAGATGAATTTCAGACCCCAGGGGGTGTAGGGGAACGCCTGCAGAAGGGACTGGAGCGCAGAGCCAAGAAAATGGAAAACTGGGTAAGTGAGATGGCAGCATCTTGACGATCCCCCAGGGCCCCTGGGTCCTCCAGAGCATCCCTCCGGTTGCTTGTTGCTGGCTGCATGCCCACAGTCTCCCCATACCAGTTGTTCTGGCATTTTCATTTGTTTGCTTGACAGGGTTACTCTTGGCAAGTGCAGGGTAGTAGGCAAGAAGGACCTGGTTATAGCCTCTTAGAACTGATACTCAGTCGTGGGGGTGGAGAGAGAAGGGTGAGAAACAGGCTTGTAAATCAGTAGGTGAAGTCATGTTAAACAGAGAAATTACATGGAGTTTTTTTAAGTGTCATTCTGGCTGGATTGTGGCTCTGGTAGAACACTTACCTAGCATGTATGAGACCCTGGGTTCCACTTGCAGGGCTGAGGGGGGAAAGAGGCAGAGAGATGGATGACACTGTCAGAGGGAGGGCATGAGGAGGTGGTGGATTTGAGGACAAAGGTAGCAACAGTATGGCCTATTTTGGGCCAGAGCCTGGGCCAGAATGTGTTCAGAGCAGGATAAGCAGTCAAGGGGAAGGAATATAGACTTGAGTTTGGTGGGATAGTCTGAGGCAGGGAATTTGTGTCAGCCTGAGGTTGCTGTATATGATCCTAGCTCTGTGTCTAAAAGATTGGTTCAATTTGCAAAAAATATCTAGACTGGTACTTGGTACATATTATTGTATTCATGTTATACATAAAGATTTAAAAAAATAGCCCTAGCTAGCCGGGCGTTGGTGGCGCACGCCTTTAATCCCAGCACTCGGGAGGCAGAGGCAGGTGGATCTCTGTGAGTTCAAGGCCAGCCTGGTCTCCAGAGCGACTGCCAGGATAGGCTCCAAAGCTATACAGAGAAACCCTGTCTCAAAAAACAAAAACAAAAACAAAAAAAATAGCCCTAGCTAGCGGGGCGTTGGTGGCGCACGCCTTTAATTCCAGCACTCGGGAGGCAGAGGCAGGTGGATCTCTGTGAGTTCAAGGCCAGAGAAACCCTGTCTCAAAAAACAAAAACAAAAAAAAATGGCCCTAGCTAGCCGGGCGTTGGTGGCGCACGCCTTTAATCCCAGCACTCGGGAGGCAGAGGCAGGTGGATCTCTGTGAGTTCAAGGCCAGAGAAACCCTGTCTCAAAAAACAAAAAAACAAAAGCAAAAAAAAATAGCCCTAGCTACTAGGAAGAAAGCCTTCTCCCCTTGTCTTATAAACTGTAGCCATGGATTCCTGAAATCCCTGCGGTGTGAAGGCTCCTGGATGAGAGGGAGCCCTTATATATCTCCTTCCTACAAATGAGAAAACTGTGACCTAGAGAAGTAGGCCAGAGTCCAGATCCTGTAGTAGCTCTCAGAAAGGAAAGACCCTGAGATGCACAGGATGCCTGGATGCCTCAAGGGGACCAGTCCTTGGCTATGAATCAGCAGATGGCAATTACATGTTACCCAGCCTGTGGCAAGTCACCTTCCCTTCCCTCTTGCCAAGGGCCCAGGGCGAGTGGCCTGATGCCACAGGCTAGCCGCTCCACA